CCTTAACGACTATCGTCACCATAACAACGACAATCAGCAAAGAACAGTGCCGCCATCGTCGCCACCGCCGCTACGCCATCGTTATTGAGTACCGTAGCTGTCACGAAAGCATTAGCAACCATGTCAACGATCCAGCTAAAACGATAGCTGTTATATAACTAAACCTAAACTAAGTGAAATAGGCTTCGAATGGACAAACACCTAATACATAATTTTTTGCTAGCATAACGCAAGTGCACAACGCAAACCAGGGTGCTGGACAAAATAAAAGACAGCAAAAACAACAAATCCGATAATGATGACCGTGATGATAACAAATCGTAGTGAGGACGGCGATGCGAAAGGTTAATGTATTTACCAAAGCATTGTAGCTTCAAATAAGGACAACATACGAAGAGCCCACAGAAGTCTACCCAAAAACTGTGAGCAAGGGCTAGTAAGGACACCGAGGTATTGCTATTATTGGCCTCAATATCCCCTCCTCTCCCTGGTATTTGAGTTTGTCTGTCTGCCTGATTAACTGTTTCCTTAAATACATCCACATATCGAAATTCAACGACCTGTAAAACACACTGGAATCATTAGCTAATAAAAAATTGTGATAGTAGCAGAAGATTACATCGGTAGGCGAATGCAACCGAAGCGGCAGGTCTCACCTTAAAATAAATATACAGCTACAAAAGCTCATGGTTGTGTTTTGGGCTCTAATTCATCGATTGCGACGATAATGACGTCAATAATTCAATAAAAAAAGATCGCATTGAGTAACCAGTATAGATAAGTGCTTGAATATAAGGTTAAGTAGACAGAAATAAAAGCAACTCTTACTTTATTGACAATAAAAGAGCTAAAGCTGTGAAAACAGTTCGGAAGATTGAGAATTCGCTATGCTACGTTCTCTGCTGAACAACTGAATATGACTGAGATGAAAGGTCTACTTCCTCCATTTTTGACCTTTGCGTTTGCATGAATTTTCTATATGCCTCGTTTTCTAGGAGACTAAACGCTTTTCAGGTTATCTTTGATGAACGTCGGAATGCTGGTCAACACCTACACGGCAGCTAGGTCTTTTCGAGATGAGAAGCCAATACTAGTTTCAAGAACGCGGGCTTCACATCCAACTTTCCGAAAAAAATCCCTGATATAAGCTTGTGCCAAAACTTTGAAAATTCGTATGTAGTCTAAAATTGAATAGCTTCCTTTGATTAGTTTTTTCACTTCTCATATGATCAGTGAAAAAACCTTTCCGTTATAACCATGAAGCCGAAGTATGTAAACGAGGTGACGATCTTTAGGCTCCTATCAGCGATACTTCGCAAATCTAGCGCAAATTATAGTAGTTTACTCTTTTCTTATTCAAATTTCAGGCTTTCATCTTTCATGCTTCATTCTAGTATGCCCCATGTAGAGAGTTTTTCAAAAGAGTCAGTGGTCTGCCAACTGCATCGCCTACGAAGTCCGCCGCTAGTCGTCACATATGATTAGAGATTAAAACCGAAATCGAACATGTTACAGATACAAGATATTCCAGGAAAACACAAGAGTGTTCAGTGTCAAATTCCAAATCACTGCCTTATAAGTGCACGGAAAATAATTTAACATGTACCTAGATTTGACTAAGTGACATTGTTTGCCACGCAAACGAGGCTGCCCAGATTGCGCCCGAACCAAGGCCCAGTCACTATACTCAATCCTTGCACTTCATATTTATGCCGTTGCATCATCTGTTTCACCACTGTATATAGATTTCTTAAACAGCTACTTTAACAGAACTATTCACAGCTATATTTAACAGAACAGCTATCTCAATAGTTTAAATTGGTAAAATTAACTTGAATTAATAGCCATAGTTCACAAGAAAGTCTACTTGATTTTCCTTGAAGGTCTACTTGAAATCCGTGCCACTACTCTACTTCTTACGCGACGTAATAAATCAATCTGAATAAGTCACCGATGCCACTTCATTCGATGCACGTTGCCTTCACCGATTAACCCACATCGGTCTTATTTTGACCACAAGATGGCAATAAGCATTTATGCAAAAATGACGACGGTTGATCAACTCTTTGAGGCACAAAACCCGCTGAAAGCTACATCACTCAGAGTGAGTTGGGTAACGCTTCTACTATTTAAATGTGTTAGAATTGTTAAGGACATAAAGACGCAAACTAAACGTAGGGAAAAATCTAAACGAATGTTACAAACGAAACGATCTATGAAGGCAAACTTATCCTTCGGGTAGTGTCACTGAGTTGGTATGGGAGTCTTTAACATTCACAAGCTTTGAAGCACAACCAACTATTAATTGATATGATGACGATATCTATCCATATACGTTACAGTAGTTCCATGTTGCCACAGTTTGTTTCGTCACCTGCAAAAGTGTACTCTGTTTCATTTTATATTTACAGAAACTGACACCTTTCCTTAGTCTTCAGAACAAGTTTGTGATCAGAGAGACAGAGTGTGAACATGTCGTCTTCTTTATTTTGACTTGGTAAGACACTTCTCCGCGATATAAAGCTAACCGCTTCATTGCCTTCAGGTGTTGTCTGCGGTAAACGTAACGCCACTCGCCTTTGAGGCTGCTGCACCGTCTGGATCCAGATTTAACCAATCGGGCCCCCAGTCTTGACTGATGGCCAGGTGACGTCACCACACGCGGTGCCTGCCATTGATACGATTTGTCCTGTTCTAAACAATGTCAATGCTAAAGTTTTGCGTAGCGGTAGCATTTTGCGGTCGATTCTTTGAGCGTAGAAAAAACTCTTATTGCTTAACCCATATTTATGGCTGAGCTAGTTGCTATTCACTACCTTGCCAAGCCCTACGTGTCCGAAAGCACGCTATATATCCTATTACTCAAGATTAAGTGAACGCTACAGCGTGCCATATGCTCGAAATAGCGATATGGGGTTCACTTGCTACAAGCAGTGACGACGATTTCAATGGAGGCGAAACATTCGATTGAGCATAAAAATGACCACGAAATAGCTTATACGCTATCAACATCTGCCACACGGGATCTGACATTCAGCTCGGAGACTCCTTTTGCAGATTAAAGAGTAATAGTCAGTCATATGTGACTTAGCTATGACGTTTTTAAGATTTGTTCACAAGACTATATAAGGCCATACAGGCAACTGAGCGGCACCAACGGTTGGTTTTCAATTTAATTTGATTCCTGTAGATTAAAGTAAAAAGACTTGCTAATCGCATGTACGAGGGTTAACGTTCGACAGCCGGAAAGTGTAGGGGGCTCATAAATAGATAGAACTGACGTACTTACTAGTTTTACTGGACCTTCTAGATCTGGAAAAGCACTTCCAGCGCAACTTGACGGCGTTCGAGTTCATTTATCCTACAGGAAGTCGTTCGCAAACAAGAGATGTAATCCGGCTCACAACTGCCGAAACACTGCGATAGACAGCTTTTCTTCGTCCTAAGCAAGTTGGCTGGGCTTCCGTCGCCGGGTGGCCTTTAACGCCGGCGGCTTTCCTACAGTAAAAATTTGGCGGCAAATTGAAATTGTCTTTAAAAAGGAAAACAAGTGCTACATGCGTGCGTCAACTTCCATATATAAACCGGTAGAAGCGAAAAAAACCCTGATTTTTTCAGCAACCGACTTCGGTGAAACGAAATAGTATGGAACGAGGCAAGAGTAACAAGAAGAAAACTGAACCAGAAATAATTGCGAGTAAGTGAAATTGCAGAGTAATTTAAGCAGAGGTTAATATATGACAGTCATAATAGTGATGCAAAGTAATCTCTTCAATTTTCCGATAATTAGCCACAAGCAATGCATAGTATTGGCTGAACTGGTTAAAAGTTAAACAAACAAACCTAATAAAATAAAGAGATAGCAATAAACTAAACTGCCCATGCACTAAAACATTACGTATCAGAAGGATTGAAAGCTAAGAATTCATCGTTTTTAATTATGCTCCACGGGCTTATCAATTCCCTATTCAGTCTATACAGTATAGAGACGATTTGTAATATAAGTAGAATGACCAATCGGGTATTTGTTCATTCAACATCATGTAACTTTCATATTTCTTATAACGTGCACGTTTGGTTCGATGTAAAATGAACGAATGGCCTGCTACTACAGCCTACACAAGCACTCGCTTCTTCGCAGCCTATGATGTGTGCAACTTCATTTAAATGCTTCTATATTATGCTTACACTTTATTACATTTATTTTTTGTCTTATATATTACGTTTTCTTATACTGAATAACTTATCTGTTGATTTATATAGAAAAAGCTTATGATTGAATTAAGACGTTTCCGATTCAGATTATCACATTTTTTGATTCTGGAAATTGTACGTAGACACATCTCATAGAGGCTACCCTAACCAACTGTATAGTGCCTCGTCTTTTGGCATGCAACGCAAAAATGGCATTGGGCGACTTCTAGATCCGACAACACTGGCTTGAATCGTAGTTTTATGGGAAGTGAAGATTTGAACTCGACAGGTAACTCACTCCCTCTCTTTCGCAAACTTGTATTTACCGAAACTCTATTTTGCGTCGGAGCCGAAATGTAATAATAAATGAACAAACTAATAAAAACACGTGTCCTGTCCTGATTGGTAAAGTAAAACATATTCAATGCCGACCCAGCGTCGCAGATAATTGTCATATAGTACAGTGCAGGTGGCGTGGGAAGGTAAAGGTAAGCTTCTATTTTGAAGGAAGAGATTTTTTGTACATTTTCGTAATCTGTGCGAAAAACTTTGGAACATATTGTTGCGTTGGTCGTTTGTTCAATTACATTTCTCTCACATCTCATGTAAAAATAAATCTTGTTCCTCTAAATTGTTCTACATCTTGAAAATTGCTTGCCTGCACGGCAAAGGTATTCCGAAATCAACAAGCTAATTCGTTCGAAATTGTTCTGCGTTCCGAGTCTTCAGCAACCACTTAAACTACCAAAAGGTTTCAATTAATTCTAAGGTGTACAGTACCTCTATATATAAGCAACTCGTAAAAGTGAGATGTAATAATGAACCAACTTTTTATTAAGAGTAACTATCTACAGTTGTGTTATGACAGGGAGCTCAAGGACCGACGAAGAAAACGCGTGATCTTTGTAAGCACAAATCAACCTGATTCAACACAAACATCAGAACATTAGTCTCAAGATCAACTTTAGTTTTTAGATTATAATGGAGAAATGGTGTTTATGCCAGAATTCGATTAAATGAAAAACACATGAGGGAATCATGTCAGGAAGCCAACGCGTAAGGAACGTTGCATCATCTGCAGGTTATTTAAGACCATTAATTCGACAACGAATGCTGCTGCTGCTGCTTGTATTAATGAATACACCCCGATAGTTTCGATTTACGTATTTATGCATCTAATTATCTAATAATGTACCTTTTTCACTTCTGCTTGCAAAAGTATTGGATTACCATTAACCCTTCTGTGTAATGCACACATGGAACGTTATAGTTCCGCTTGCGCACGGAATATAATTAATTCAAACATTTTCCGTTCATGCGATTTCTGATTAAACTTCACAATGCCATTGATGCAAATTATATCTATTAACTTGACGAGTATTTACATAAACGGCACAGCTTGAAATGATGTATTTTATCATGAAAACTTTTATCAAATAGATGTAAAGAGGCGTTCAAATAAGTATATTCATAGGCTTTTTTTCATACGTAACTATACCAAAACAGAATAATGTTAGAAATATTCTTCCATAGTTGCCTCAAATAAACTTTGTAGCGCACGAGCCAACATTGCATCTGACCATTTCCCTTGATTACCTGAACAATTTTTTTTTGCCTGGGAAGTATCGTTTATAAGCACATCCTAAACATGTTCATCAAGTGAGATGCTGATTTGGCGAGAATTAATTTCTAATGAAACATTCCGACAACATATGCTAGAGAAACAATAAAAATGCACTTGATTTTCGTGCAAATTATTGTTATCCACCCTCTTTTTTCGGTTAGCTGATAGGGTTCGCTGAGGGGCTAATAAATTTAAGTGAAGTTCCTGTAACGTAACAACAACACATGCTCCTATGACGCTAAAGTATATTTTTACTAAGTTATACATTACATACACATTATTAGGCTTGTTATTTTTCAACTCTATATAGATTTTCTTTTTCATTAAATTTCCTTTTTCTTGTTGATTGAATTAATTAATTGTTTTATAGATCGTGTATGTCTACCTATACGTTATGCCGTATTCTAGTCTAAGAAGGTGCGTCTCCGCAAAGAAATGGGGTCGCCTAATTGAAGAGTGTTTAACCTTCGGACATCAGTACCTGTACTATAGATAACGTTTGGCATTTTGTGTGGTTTCACTAAACACCATAAACATGAATTTACTGTTTCAACTAAAGACTAAAGAAGAAAAAAGATCTACATTTTAACATAAAACGATGGCCATTATGTCATCTGCATTCCCAATATCGCTAATTCGCTGCACGAAACTAGTTCATACCGCCTAAAACACTAGCCAATGTCGCCTGTTCAGAATATAACACATTATAAGGAGTGTTTCGTATTTTTGCGCCTGACCCATCGATTGTACATGATCGCCTTGGTAATTTATGGCTGCACTGCGATAACGAGGCTATATGTACAGAGTAAATTTTTCTTTTATTTACACAATAAGGTGTTGTTTTCATTTTGTGCTTCCATCACCCACTGAACTGATTCTACGTTCAAAACACTGCATCGCCAGTCTTCTACATCGCCTGAGTACAACCTAACAAGGTGGCGACAATCATAATAATATACCAACAGTTTAGTGTATGCTATTTCCTATTCTTGTATTGGCCATTGTTTACTGTGAGCTAAGAATAAAACCTTACCTTCTTTTTCCACATTCGTTACATATCTCTACGATTGTGCATATATATATTATGTTTGGTCATTATATATTTGTTGGTAGTATTTCCATTGTTATTTACTTCTATTTCAATATGATATTACTAATTTCAACCGTTTCAAGTTTTTTATGGCAAAATAATTGCAGCGATTTCTCCAGAAATAGTAAACGCCACAAAAGGTTAGGAACATATTTTTAAGTAAAAAACACTAACCTAGATATAGGTATGTAAGACGTTGTGTATCTTCGATCCCTTTTAGTGCGAGAATTTTTTTGTTTGATAATACTTAGCTTATCGTCTGGTAAGTCTAAGTTGGCGTTTTATTCAAACTACAGGTATATAGTCGCAACGCTCGCCACTAACTTCTGATATATTTTGTACCCCTTTGTTGACAAATAAAGAATGTCATTATATATATATATATATATATATATATATATATATATATAAAAGATATGGCTAAATGTCGGGTATGACAATGAAGGTGGTAGCGTCTTTCAGGAAGTTTTTCTTCCTCTTTATACAAATTTCAGTTAGTATAAGTGGTGTAGAGTCTTTTCGTTGTTAAGTTGCAAGATTTGCAATGTGAGTTGCCAAAGGGCTCCTCTATCAATATGGCGCTTGTTATGTGGTTTTGTCCCATAATCTCCAAATACGGTGCATTATCGTGCTTTTTTCACAAGAAACCGCGCAAAAAATGCTCAAGCTCATTATATGTATCTTTAAGATGATAATTTTATCACGAATGGGGTTTTGATACTAGGGTCCAATGCCCAACACGCATGTTCGAAATGTAGGTATATTAAGTAGAGAATAAATAAAATATAAGTAGTAACAGCAGCAGCAATTTTAATGAAATATAGATAACAACGAAACGAATTAGTATCTATATCGGCCATTTTGGCGTGGCTATAATTTTTGTTTTTCTTTTTCGCTATCAAACAAATTAGAGCCGATATGCTCACTTATCGTTATTGGTGTTTTCAGGACAGCAATAGGACTAGCATGTTCTGTAAGCGCACTGTCTATTCACCTTTTTTTGACCAGAATTCATCAGTGGTTCAACTTAGAAGGTGTACGTCGTCGCACAGTATATAGCGACAGTTGAGTGATGCATCCGCTGAACTGGTTCCGGCCCAGTCGATGGCAGCCGATCTGTTTTCGGTTATTTGGTCTTATTTTTCCCGCACGCTACGCGTTTGTTCCTTAGTACTCTTCAATGCCGTTGCTTTTTCAGACCAATTATTATAATATAATAATTGTTTGAATTAGTTGACGTACTGCTGTTTGGGCGGTAACGGGACCCCAGCTTCCATCATCGAAGGCGACATTGGGGTGGCTCCGTTAGCTGTAGCAGCGGCCGCCATATCAGCTTGAGGTGCTTTTCGACCCATGGCAATCATGCCGTACATGAGACCACAGCAGAAGATCAGACCCGAGCCGAGCATTGTGGTGATTCCCATGCACATCAGAGCAGGAACGATGCCAGCACTGCAAATGCAATCGCGACAAGGTAATGAATGGTATTAATCAGGAACAGGTCGTATTAAGTTGGAGTTTTTAGTTTATGGAGATATGATGCACCTATTTACTGCTCGGTGGAAAGTACTTTCCATACAGTTGCTAAAGGAGGTTTGATAATATTATAATGAAGACGATGCATTTATAACTAGAATATGGTAGACCCAATTGTTTGCGAGCTTCCATGCTATCAGGACCTCTCATGGTCATATTTTGGTGCTTGTATGAACGACGCGTACTACTGCATTTACTGATAATTGCTTTTGCTTAATTCATGTTTTATTTTTACTGGATGGCAATAAGGTATCCACCATTTCCATGTTAGGACTCACGGTCTTCTAGCATCTCGTTCGTTAAAACAAAGACAGATAAAAGCTTTAATTTTAGTTTTTACTAATGTTATATTTTATTGGGGCTTCGTTTGTGTCGATTCTATATAAACATTTGATTTGTTCCTCTTGTCCAACTGTTCTACGCGTGTATAACTGCGTTGTTTGTACACGGTTTATTTTTCAATAAATAGTTGATTTCATGTGTTAGTATTCATTATGAATTACCTTCGCACTGATGTGGTCCTGCAGTACCTTATCGTAATGCTATAATCCAAATAATTACCTATATGTTTATGTTAGCTATTAAAATGCAAATCTAGTAATACATACACACAGTAGATGCCGGCTTTCAGCATAAGGGGCTTTCCATCTATCATCTGGCCTGGTTTCTTAGCGAACTCCAGGGCGGCGCAGAGATACGGCGCCTCCAGCAGGGCAACTAGTAGGCCCGCGGCGCATTGAAGAATAGCTGCTAGAAGACACCAAAATGAGATCGTCAAAGCTGAAAGAAACGCCAGCTGGATACCCATACCGATCGCGACTGAAATTCAAAAGATCGGGCGTACATGTGAGCCCTATATGTAGATTTATGAAGTGGAAAAAGGCGAAATAGTTCTATGCAAGATGCCGAACTCAGTCTTTAGACAGTTCAAGAAATGACAGCTTTAACCCAAGGCAGCAATATATCAATCCAAATGTGTCAACTTTTACATTGGGTACTACTAGAAAGTGTTGTTTGAGATAGTTCGAGTGGATAAATCATTACTTGAATTCCATGTGAATAAATGAATGGATGGATGGATGGATTAATACGCGCAGATTTCATTGATGGACTACAGAAATTCTTATAACACGAATGCGTTTATCGTAGTAAGCTTCTGGCTAATTGTGTACACTTTATTATTATCAATGTTCCCCATATTACCAATTTTTCTATCGTTTTGATGTGAACTTGGCAGATTTCTTTTTAGGATTCGTAGTGAAGCATAGGTTCGAGTGAAATCTTTACGCTAGAAAAAGCAGCGTGAAGTAGTATATCTAAACGTTTGGGTAATAGTAAAAGTAATAGTAGTAGTAGTTGTAGTACAGTGAGAGTACTACGCAATGCATCACTGGACGTCTTTATAATATTTAACTTGAATGTAGACAATACTATTAATTATAAACAACAGGGGCAACCATCCTTAGCCCGGACAATGAAAACAACAAACAGTGTAACGCACTTTTTGACAAGATGTTTAATATGTAACGATAAGTGTACGCCCCGCGACTTTTTTTCTTTGCCCGAGTCGCCAGACAGTACGATTTCGACGCTTTTGGATTTCATTTTGCCGACGATTCGTGATCATGCACGGTTTGTTAGTTTTTGTAGGCTCCCATCTATCTCTAGATATCATCTTCTGTTCATTCTAACTTGATGCAATTGCTAAACAATTTTGTCTGTCATCAAGTTGATTAACTTTTGACAACGACGTTCTACGTGCACTGCGAGAATTTCGATTTACAAAATGGAGCCTATAGCCATGCGATGTACCAGATTTAAGGCCATATATACACTAGAAGAATCGAAAAGAAACCATTGTCTTATTTGTATAGTTTTCACATCCTATTCAATTTTAAAAACTTATGTAAAAAAATAAATAAATAAAATTAAATTAAATTAACCAAGCAGAATTCTGGGATTGCTAGGATTGGACGAGTTTGTTCACCTAGAAGCCCCTTGTATGCTGTTTTCCAATACAAAGCTCGCCAACTAATGTTTCTGGTTGAGAAAAGTGTATCTTTCCTGTCGCCCCAACATTGAGCCTATGTATATATATATAAACGCAAGCTAGCAAAATGCCCAAGGAACGTACCATTTTTATCATATGGTTCGCCGGGGGATAGAGTTGGTCGCATTGAGCTATATTGGGCCACTAATCCAAGTGATAAAATTGGTGCCCAGCTGTTTTTTTTTTTTTTTTTTGCTGTAACATTACAAAAATACTCAAGAAGTAGTGGTGGCCGGCGGAATTGCCGATATGTGCAAACATTTTTCGCGCTTGTGCATATGAAAAGAATAGCGTTAGTTATAGAATAGTAGATTCATCGTTGTCGGTCGTCGGTTTGCCACGGCGCACGACGTTTCTTTGTGCAGTAAAAACAAATCGATACAAACTTTGCACTGATTTCATTAGCAAGTGTATCTACGAAAACCGTACGTCGAGCAGAGAAGAACAAACAGCTCGTTACACTGATCTCAATAGGCAGTACCCGCAAAACCATATGGGACCCTAGTTTTAAAATAGTGCAGTGTGGCGTAGTTGGGGTTACTCAGTCGATGTGAAGCCTGGACAAACTGTTGATTCCAGAACTTCCACGGATGTTAACAATTCTATAATTGTATCTTATAATAGTCATCGTTTTTCTATCACTGACTAAAACTATGGTTCCCTTTGTCTGTTCTTTTCATAGAGCTAGTTAATGAATAACTCATAGAGTATGTTTCAAGGAAAAGTTATCCCTTCTTTCCCAACGATCACGATGGACGCGCCTTGCTATCGCCATAATTAGTGTTATATAAAAAAAAAATTACTGTGTTATAGATATAACATAATAACTTGATTTTTGTTCATTTTTAATTCAACTAAAACATACTGATATATATTCTCTATGTGTCAAGCTTTAGGTTCGGTATCGTCGTTAGGCGTTCCATCAGACAGACGGCTGACTAGCTCCCAGCATGAAATAAGGTCTGTCTATGCTGGGGTTCGAATCTAGACCAGAATGAGTCCCTAAGATTAACAGGCAGTACCCACTAGCTATCATCGGGCGGAGTGGAGGAGAAGGTTGCGTCTATTCAATATGCCTTTGCCCGTCGTTACAATATATGCAACACATCTATGCAAACGAAACATTTTAATAAGTAGTAGGCATATTTCTATGCAGTCCTTTGTTCCATATATCAAAGTGCCAGTTCCGTAAAATGAATTCATCTTTTAATCTTGTCTATGCTTGCTAAATACTAATTTCCTGGGTTTTAATTCACCCAGAGGTGCAGAAAGAAGCCATCTATTATTTATACGGCATTGGAGAAAACGGCAGCAAAAGTAAATGCGTTGCAACTTATAGCAAACATTGAACGTACGCCAAGCTGGTGCATTTATAGGGTTTCAAAGCAATACATATCATGCAATTGAAAACCAACTTGATTTTGCAATCTCTATCTACGTATCTTTATTAGTGAAAATATATCTAAGTTGTTGTTGCCCTAAAATAGTCTGTGTTGTTTCGAATTGTTTCCTTTTGGGCTGGCAGAGGGGTTTGTGGAGCGTAATGATTGAATATTTTTTCAAAGTTTATTTCTTCCTGCTATCTATTCGTTGTCGTTATCCCAAAGGTCGAGTAGTTAAATGGGCAACGCGTGCGCGGGATGGACCCTAGTTGTCGTCTACAGCTTACTTTAATACTTAGATTTGAACTTGCAGCCATAGCATCCTCACAGTCATGGAGTACATTCTTATTTAACACTAGTGTTTTAATTGAGCTTATTTTTTATAGGTCTATAGGGTTATCAATTGCGATGAATGCCTAACATCCTTTAATAGGTATTGCTTATCCTGTATAAAAGACATTACCAATTATATTTTCATCATATATATCAACATAAAGACAGAACATCCAATATTGACCCTACACAAGCCGCAATAATGTACCTTAATTGATACTTTGAGAAGAGATTCATCGAATAGATTGGAGTAAATGATGGGATTTTAAAAACGTACTAGTTAAACCCTTTTATCCATTGATTTTTGGATCTGAGTAACGGGTTTTTTTTCACGAATAAAATTGGAGTCCTAAGAGTGCAAATGTGCTAGTGAAAAACTAGTAAAAACGAGCTTGTATCGTTAAATCATACAGTATCTGGTCAGCTTTGAATTACTACCGCCGCTTTAATAATAATGCCAATAAATGGCAAGCTGGAAGCAAGATCGGCCATAATAGTTCAGATAAGCGTACAAGTGCGAATGAACGCATTGCCGAACCTCACGCTTTTTATTATGAACAAAATGGTTACGGCTTTACGATTCCCACATGATGTTTAGCGTGGACAATCGTACTTTTTCTTTTTCAAGGCAAGACATTTTATTATAACTTGCTGTAAGTTCGCAGATGGGCGTTCTTAAAATTGCTTAGTTTTTAGAATGGGTAAATATCGATTGCGTACTACTTCAGTATAATTTCAATAATGCATGCAACCACATAAGCACGTACATATATATATATATACATTGTTGTAGGATATTAGTTTTGCAATACTAGTATCCATCGATAACGATTGCATTCTATAAGAAATAAATATTGAATCAATATTAAAATGAATCTTAAATATACTTATTGACAACATTTTTTCTGTTGACAACAGCATTAAATACACCAAATGCATTCAGAAACGTGCGGGACATACAGCAGACGATATGTACTGATCCGCTGTCGATAACAACAAATGCACCGTTGGGCAAGTGTCATGTTCACTTTCGTTATTTAAATAAGCCCGCGTACATATTTCGAGCTTCCATACAACACTAGCATATTACAGAAGCTCTATAGGAATGCTGTCAGCCAAGCAAGTAAAAAAAATTGATCATATTCTCCTAAACGCAGTATCTATCATGCCTTATTAAATGTTATTTATCTCGTTCGCTCATCGCCTTCAGCATTCGATACCCTTACAACTAGGTCGATACAGGCACAACCATACTGCACTTACATAATGACGCAATTATACCCACGACCCTGGCGCCGTATTTAAGGTACCAGGGGATGCTATCGTTCGGGTCCATGTCCTTCTCCGTGGGCATAGCTCCTGTAGGAACCTTGTTCATATTCATTAGAAGTGTGGCTGCCATCTTCTAGATTTATTAGAGATATGTATGTGTGCGTGTATAATTCCTTGGCTTTCAGGTCTCCTCGGCCGTGGATTACAGGACTGCGTCCTCATATACTCAATACATGCACTGTCGGCACACTAATATACACAATAGTACCAGCTCTTAACGTTGACCGAATAGGTCGGTCAGTGATCACTGTTCAGGACACAACCACAGTTGAACTGAACGCCTATTTCTTGCCAACCTCTGATAAAACGGAGGGTGGTGCTAAAAACAAATCTTCCTGCGTTAAAGCGACGTTTATTGGCAGTACCGTGGCGGAAGCATACGGCACACAATGAGTAGCTAAAGCGGACGAGTAGAACAAGGGTACTGCTAGCAACTGCTCCAGTAGAAAGAAACTCTAACCACACGCACACCCACAGTTGTTTCGCCGATTGATTATTCACCCTACACCTATCAAGGAAGTCCACAGGCTATAGGAGTATTTCTATCTCACTGCGCCTGTGGGTGAACTTATGAAGGGCCCAGACGATACCCTCACTGTAGCAGTGCTACGGACGTGGGTCGTAATGAGAATATTGGAGACTATGGCGGACGGCGATGATCTTGCCTGCTGATCTCGGGGGTTCTCAACCCCCGGGCGAAGCAAAGCCGAGCCAGAACCTCCGAACTGCGGTGGTTTGTTGAAAAAGCATAAGTCCAGCAAAGCGCACGGCTACGCTTATAATGCTGCTGTTCTCGAGCAATGTTCTTGGTCAAGTAACTCTGGCAACAAAAAAGAGGCTGCCTGCGTAGCATGAATGACAGTCAAACATTTTAAGGATTTGAACAAAAAACATGGTTTCACCATTGTCGTACGTGACTACAGATCTACCTAGAACACGGTTACTGTGTTTAAGATATCAGCGTTGTTGGATTAACAAGGTCATTATCTGTCTTTGTTGATTAAGGCTTATATGCCTCAAAAAATCAAATTACAGATGTGTATCTGCCCTTTTGTACATGTTGCAGGACGAGTATAGCTGAGAGAAAATAAAAGCATATCATTTACAGTACTATTTTACTTCAACTGGCTATTTTCTGTCATATCACTTTCTCGACTGACAGAGTCTAATACATTTTCAGCTCTGTCACCATAATGCAGCTTACTATCTCGCTATTTCATGTGCAGAGAAAGTTTAATATACGTACAGCAGAAGGTTACCATAGCAACAGCGGTAAAAATAAGAACAATCTGACTACGACGGTCTTCGCCATGGTAAAGTGGTTACACTAAAGTCGAAGTTACCGTAAGGTGGTCTAGGTTCGAACCAGGCGTAGACATGTTCCGTTTCGTGCTAACAGTCAGCCGTCTGAAACAACGCTTAACGGCAGCGCCGGACGTAATACGCGAAATGTTTACTTTCGTCCGACGATAACTAGCCCGCCTGTCGAAGCAATAAATGGTGCAATACCGTGAGTACGTGCAGCTTGCAGACGATGTTCAACAAGAGATGACAGGCGAGGGTTAAACGCGGAAGGAGGCAGGCCAACCGGACCCGTTTGGGTGAGAGCAGTCCCTGTTGTTATTGTCGTCGTCGTTGTTATTATTGTCCAAGCCCGCACTGTGCTGGGAGAAGAGGAGGTGGAGAAGGCAGTTTGTTGTTCATCGCACGTTATGGCTGCTATGGTAGTAGCCATGTCCATTATCTGATGTTCGCCTGCTTTTGCTGCCTCTCGTTTGCTCGCGTTGGATGTTGCAGACGGGCTAACAAGGAGCTGCAGGCAGGCCATCACTGTGTGAAGTGTGGTGCTGTGCTGATCGTGCCGAACATTGTGTGCAGTCTGTGTGTGTATGAAACAAAATGTACCTGTGGGTGGTGGGCCTTCCGACTGCTCCCTGTATCTAGCCGATTGCTATGTTACGATGATATTAGCAGCGGCAGTGGCATTTGCATGAGTATGCGTTACACTTGAGCAAAGTGAGTCTGCTTTATGGTGGTGCTTCCGGTTCTGACTGCTCATTTCGGTGATTTGAAGGAGGTGCAATAAGCAGATACATAAAACGCTTGATCTCGCGCTGTAGGAACGGCATTTTTGCCCGACGTTCTTTTTTCTAACCTAGCCTCCACCTTTTCCTGTAATTTTGTGCCCATTTATTGTTCATATGCTGCTGCTGCCGCTGCTTCTGAACTGTTCTCGCGTCCGTTCTGCTACGCCTCGGACTCTGCTCGTACATAGGCAGGGTTTTCTCGGATTGGTTACGCCAACGCGGTCGGCGTTGCCGTTTTTCTTGGACAGAACAATGAGTAAGATGCTGGAAGTTCTCTAGATCGCGCTCGCTAATTTATTTCATTTACCGGAATTATTCGAAAAAAATGCAGCTGTTTTATTTAGAGACTCAGTTGATCACTGACCCCGCAGTCGTACAGCCCTGTGTCTGCTATGCATTTCACCGATAGATAAACGAGCAGAGAAAGAGTCTGTGCGGTTGGGGCTGTTAGCAACACCAGCTGTATCATCTGCCACAGATGACCATCCGCATTTCACGTTTTTGCATAGTAAATTTTGTGGTACATTGAATGCCATCGTCGTTGCTTCGATTTTCGTCGAATCTCACGACCACTGAAATCGTCGTCGATTTCGTATGCATAGCGGACGAGGAGCTGATGAAGCGTTTCTTATCGAGTACATCGGCTGGGCCTTGATCGCTGATCTCTGGTCACTGGTTGGTGATTGTGCGTGACTCTTTTGTTATCGTGTCAACTTTGGGGGGCACGCTTACACCAGAACCAGATGATCATCATTGTGTAACACAGCTCTATGGCCCTAAAGGACATATCTTTCGCCTGCTTGGCCTACTGACTGTTCATACGAACAGACGTCTGCTGCCTAAGGCAAATCAAAGTGCGGTTGTAAACGGTTTGTTTAACTCTAACTAATAAGGGCGCTTGCAGCAGCAGTAACTTCCTGTCAAGATTAGGATTTGTATCGAAATTGTACACGCGCCTTTTGTTAAACAATTACCGTACAGCTGCGGCTAATTAAGAACCTGTTCACCTATAAACTCTTCACTACAACTTTGTGACAATTTCGCTTACTTCGAGAACGACGGGATTCGTCGTGGTCGTATCGTTCTGAGTTTCCACAGTAAACCCCACTTCACGCTGTGGAGGTTGGCCGTGGCAACACGAACGAAGTGCTAATAAAACAATGGCACCGTACGGTGATGATGTTCAGCGTTATGGCAATCGTATATCGTCTCGCAAACATCGCCGGGATAAGAGTGAGATCAGCTGCTGTCTCAAGTACCTCATCTTTGGGTTTAACGTTATTTTCTGGGTGCGTATAAAATGCATATGATGCGATTGTTAAAGTTCTTTATGTAATTAACGAAAAGTGTAGGCTAAATTGGGTTTGGTTCATAATATTTTGCTTTAGAAGAGCCGTCCACATACGCGCAGACACACAAATATACAATAGCAATATATATGACTATCCGAAAAAATGAGACGTATAAGCTACAGATATTTCTGTTATAAGACAATAATGTTAGCGAACAAGGTAATTCTGTTCACGTTTGCTTCCTACTATATTTTAGTATGTATATAGCGCGCTGTGTATACCTTTAGATACAATGGTAACAATAATATAAGTCGGCGCTATGCTTACGTCATTGGTTATAAAATTGCCAAAGTTATAAAGTTTCATGATACTGTAGTTGCTCCACTCAATAGTTAGTAATTCTCAGTAGTTATTAACTCAGCAACTGGATCAGGCAGCTCTGAAGAATATGGCTAACTTACGCATAGCTTGCAAGATACAGTTACACCTAAACTTGTAATTCAGATATAAATAGTTTCTGTTTGATCTTATCTACATTAGATATAGGCCCTTATAATTGCAAAATACTTCAAATGGGTTCGGTGTAGGTGTTAAGGAGGCATCAGCTTGATGCTCGCAAAAAACGCATCAATCCAGCGATGCCGGTGGGGTTCGCCCTTTGACGAGCGACCATCGACTCCTAATGCTGCCACACACATATATATATACATTCATCGTTGCCATTATCTGGGCAACAACAGGCAGACAAGCCCGACGATCGCGTTTTTGCCGCTCTTAGCCACCCTTATGTTAACACTATCATATATGTTGTGTGGCTTACATACTAAATAGTTTTTGTGGGTTTATTAGGTTCGTTAGGGACAACCGAGCTATTACCTTAAACCCAATGAATTCTGGAGCGTGCGCGCGAAAAAGGCTCGTGCAGAGCCCGTTAAAGCCCTCAGAGTTGCTGTTGATGATTCACATATATTGCCAAATAGTACGGATATTCGCAGTTTTGATTTACTTTTAGCAATGATTACTTCTTTGCCGTGGCTATATAGGAGTCATCTGTTTTCATAATAATCAGAGGCAGTTGTCTATAGATCCTGACAATTCGTTCTTGTTTTTTTTTGCCCTTAGATATGTACAGCGTATGTTGGAAAGTCTCCGATACAATATACACTTTATATAACAACAAATGAAATTATGTAAAGTTTATATATGAGCAACACCCTGATAAGTTGAACACTCGTGCCCTAAGATCGTTAAGTTTTAAAAGATAATGTCAGAGAATTGTATTTAAATGCTGAAACAACTTAGTTGAATGAACAGCACGTGCGTACGAATTGACAAAATAGAGTAACAACGCCGTTTAATCATTGCATCTTTTCAATTTATTACTGTTTCGTATAGCGTTGCTCTGGTGAAGCGTTCGGGACGCGCCAGTCTGCTCTCAGACTGTTCGTGACTTATCGGGGATCACACATGATGAAAGTGGTGCCGCGTCTCAGCCACTGCTGCTTGTAGTGGCCAGCCGACACATACTGGCTGGAATCATTGGCCATTCCCGTTTTGGGTCTCCAACTTTCAATGTATTTGTTCCAGTTAGATCTATGAATGATGCCAGTTATCAACAATAGACACATAAGCAATTGTAGACCATGGGAGAACGTTATCTAGCCTATTGAACTATGTCAGGGGCTGAAGCAGTAGTCTGGCAGTGTTTTTTTTTTCGGAATAATTTTTCGATTAAAGCATGCATCATACCCCAGACACAGGAATTGGTAGCTGGGTAATAACTAACAAATTTACACATTTGTATCTAGGGAACGTATTTGCTAGCAAGTTTCAGGATGTTAGTGGATGTTACCAGCTTACACTGGCTGAGAGACGTTGTGTCGTGTTGACCATTACATATTTTTCTCAAATTGTAAAGATTTCAATAATGCCGCGCCAATTCATTATCGTCGTGAAAGATTGACACCGATAAAAAATATTATATAAAATAGTCCTTGCAGTTAGTATTATTTATTGAATCTAATCCTAATTGTGGCACCTCCAAAGGGCCTGCGTACTACAGCGACTGGTCACCAGTAATTATTTACATCAAAACAAAGAATAAAACGTTTGTTTTGCTGTAAATGACTGAACAATATTTTCTTTTGCTTCTTTTATGGGTGCTAATTATTACTCGGTTAGCCGGGACTTGGCGTTTTTTTGCAAGAAAGGACGAGGCTACGGAAGATGGAATGGAAAAAAATCGCCTCGATTGGTACCGCTTCTTTATGTGTTCAATGGAAAGGCGATTCGGAATGCAGCCCGGCCGCTGCAGCTCTTAAAACCATTGCTCCCAAACATTTTCCCACAAAGACGTTACTGCTACATTATAAGACTCCTTGTTGGCCACTGATGGCCATAGCTATCTTGAAGTACACCCCACAACCTTTGCTATGATCACACTCGATAGCATTTCCGATGCTTAAAAAAAAGTATATCAAAATGGCTACTTGTCATACATACTGTAAGATCGTTATTAGATGAAAAATCCCAAATCAACGTACTCGTGGGTTATAGATCGTATGCCCGATAAATATGTTGTAATTATTTTCATATGATCTATTGAAAAATTCGAGAAGATCAGACTCTAAGGGGGCGGGGGCTGTTTAAACATCTTAAAAATAGTCGATAGTTTTTGTGCTTTTGAAACTGAACATTTATCGCCACCTCAGTAAAACCGTGAGCGTTTATCATGATAATAACGACTAAACTAAAAGAACAACTGCCAAAAATAATTTGAAGTGAAAATTGCCTCCTTCCAACCATCTATGACTAGCTGAAACAATATAGTCGAATATGGCGGGCTTTAGAATTGCGTAACTTTTGCCAGAATGGTGATTGTTTTAATACAGGTTCCTCCTTTTATTACTCTTCTTTATAGTTCACACGCTATCCTAGCGCTCTGGTAACCTCCGGGTAGCCATTGCGTCCCTACATGTTGTTTCTCTATCTAAATTAAACGATAGTGAAATTCGTTTGCCCACTAGTTGTTCTATTGGGACATATAAAATCCCGTAATTATATGCTATTAAATCGGTAGAATATATATAACACACGAACCATAGATTGTCAATCAGATTTTCAGAATTCTCCGAGGTACCGTTGATTGCTATATTAGGCAGCGTTCTTGTAGATCGTGTAAGTTACTCGTCTATTGACGTAGTTCTTTGATAATTGTTGCTATTATTGTTTCAGCTGCTCGGCCTGTCGATAATGATCATTGGGGTGTGGGCATGGACAGAAAAAGACATCTTCAACAATCTCTCCAAACTCACGAACATCGCTCTCGATCCAGCATTTGTCCTAATCGTCATAGGTAAGAAAAATACGTCTCGTGAATTGTGTATTCAAAAAAACACGCTGATGTTATTGTTGCAAGTCTTTCAAGGTAGCCAACTCTCACTTTGTTTGTCTCACAATTGCTTGTGTTGGATGTATATGACCCCAAATATTAGGGCGACTAAATAGTTATTCTTTTTTTTTCTGCTAAGACGTTTTTTGTTACGATATGCAATAGCCAGCTTAATAATAGATCGCAGATAGTTAAATTCTACGGACGAATAGGATGTGAGGTTCGTTCTAAACACATTTCATACACTAATATTGAACGTTAGGGATTATTAGTACTGTTAGCTGCAGCTACATATTTTATTCAATAAAATACAAAAACGACTAGGTTTTGTGCGGAGGGGCAAATCACGATCCTTTTTTAATTTTTAGTTTATTTATTGATCCATACGCATATATGTATGTATGTATGTCATTTTGATAACGCTCACATAATACTAGCTACGGCTCAAACAATGCAATAATGTCCTATTTTGTGTACTAATGTGCTGTCATTGACACTGACGGTCATTATCATATCCGATCTGTTGGTAAAGCAGAAGTTCGGCTTCTTAGCCCTGCGCGTTGAGTTGAATCTGATCCTGCTTGCTTCGGGTTATCCGGTTCCTATCATTGTACCAGGCAAACATCGACAGTAGCAAAGAAACGCCATTGTTACATATGTTCAGTACATCTATACGCTGCGGCAAATCATTTTCCCACACGGCGGTCGTCTATCTCATTACATCAAAGTGTTCTAGAGTCATCCAGTCGTTCACAACACATAGAAATTGAAACAAGAATCCCATCGGTTCATTGTGTACGCTGAAGGGAACTATGCTTCTAATCTGAGTGTTATTTACTAAATAAGCGGTATTTTGTGATCGTGGTGCTCGTTCGTCTACGCATATCGTGGTACATGAGCTGCAGCACTCAAACTACGGAAGTATTGAGGGTTGCCGCCGCACAGAGAGATCACGCGATAGGTTTATACATATATATTAAATCATCTCGCCTCGTGGTGGCTATAGGAGCGATTAAAAAATAGGTGAATTTCTATCTTCAAAAACGATCATTTAGCACAGTTCAACAATCGAAGGCTATTAGAGGGCTCGTTTCTTACCAATCACCAGGAACTTACCATTATAGAATCATAATAACAAACGACTATGCTGCTTTTCGAAATTAATGTTCACGACTTATCACAGCAGATGCTAATTTTACAGTTTCTGATCATTTCATTTACTTCGTCTGCTCGATGCCGTACATTTTAGCCGTCGCGTGATTCAGGGTTATTTTGAAGAGTACACTTTGTACGACTCGATGTATCGATTCTAATATTTGTCCTAATAATATGCGGAAGTATTTGTTATGGTATTTCCATGTTTTCAATAGCGTTTCTAGTTGAACCGCATGGAAATTCGTATCTTCACCAGACCCTAGTATTACAGGTCACAACGTTAGCAACCTTGAATATTTCGGAGAGTGTTTTCATCTGACAGACGAGGACTCGGAGCGGCAGTAGCAGGCGATAGACATAGCGGTTCAGAAAGATATGTCTAGTATGGAGGACCTATCCACTCTTTTACCGATGAGAACCACATGGAACTAGTCATTATAATAAGAGCGAATTGCTCTAAAGTGAATAAACTCCCGTAGGCCACGTACTGCTCCAGGGAGATGCAGGCAAGACTTCACAACGCCATCATTGCGAATGTACAGAGTTCTCTTTAATCGCTTGGAAAGAGTTAGATTGGGCTTTTCGAAGTTGTTTAGCTTTACCTTTTACCTTTCGTTTTGGCGTAGATTTTTTTCACGTCAGACTTTAGGTTCGTGGGGTAGCAAAGGTAGCGTAGGCGAAAAAAGAACGAAATCTCTGCCTTTGAGAGTTCATTACGGGGCAGTCTGCTTACCGCACTCGATTGGTGGGTGAGCTTTTTCCAGTAGTTATCGGTGAAGCAAATGATTGCTTCCCTTAAGTGCTCTATGTTTTCGAACAAAAATACGATAGTAATAAAAGGGCAGTTGAGACAAAATGTAGGACACAGAAGTTCTACTGGGTCATTTTTGATGCCAGGGTTTCAGCGCAGTGTCGTTGTTTAGGCTTAAAATAGAGAACTCTGCTGTTAAAGTCAGCATGCTAAGTGTGGCTTACGCACTTGTTCGGTACATGGTTTACTTTTGGTACTTTGAATTTAATTTACTTTCAATGCGATACATAATAAGGGTAGACGTTTCTCAGGACGATGAAATATTTCTAAAATACAATAATCTTACTTCTTACGCTACCTTGCCGTACAGGTTACGTTTAGGTAAACAAATTTCGTTAGGTTTTATGCGTTCGGAGATCAGCTCGATTGTACAGATTCAACAGAGTTAGTTGATAAGTGAAACATAAATGTACATTGATATCTTACTTGGCATACCTGCTGTGCAAATGTAAGTCCTACATTTTACGTCCAATGTTTTAACGTATACTGCCGTCATAGCTCGTAACAAACATTTCGGTTCTTTCGTAAGAAAATGTCTCCAGATTGTGTTAATGGGTACAATTGTACGTTTCGTTATCCATTGTATGCTGATTAAAATTCGAATTTTGTCAAATTTCCCACCTTCTCGTTTCTGATTGGTGTTAATTTTTGTTATAATATAGATGAATATCAACAGGGTTCGTTACTAAAGAAGAGGTCAAAATTTTTTGCGCGAGAGTCAATTCGATATTTCACTTATAACGTTCTACAGAAGGTAGCAATCAGTATCATTTTTTGGAAGTCTATGAAGTTTAAAATGATCTATAAACTGGTCATGTGTAGCAAGATAGTAGGGGTAAAACTAAGTTTTCGTACCTATAGGGCAATTGCGTCGCAGTTGTCAAGTTATCTTTATGGACCCGCCTGTCGAAACGCGGAAAGCCGTAAAAAGCTATGACAAGGTGAGCATTGCGACGTTGCGCCCATATGAAATTTCTGAGTTGTTTATAATGAGGTATTGCTTGTCTGATCTCTGTCTTTTAGGTGGTATCACATTCATCATCGGGTTCACCGGTTGCGTAGGCGCGTTGCGCGAGAACACTTGTCTGCTTGCCGCGGTAAACAACTTCACTATATCTAAATAATATTTGTTGTTTTTTTAATATACAAACATTGACACCGACCAATCTTACCGTCAATTGCGCATAACGAGCCGGTGAAACTTGAACGTTTGTTGTTGCAAACAACAGCAATATAGTAAATCTACTCGACCGATGGCAGTCACTAGAACCTGTCACCAGTATGCTCTCGTTTTTGTAACTTATTCGTACGTCTCGATTCAGACCAAGGCTAGGTTCTTATGCATGCTTGTAATCTGTACTAGAGCACTACTGCTATCATTAGGACCTCTTATTAGGACACTCCACAATGTTGTTTTGTATTTGTAATGGGAAGTTACTTTACCTAAGACGTTGCATTTGTGGGTTAAAATCATCCCGGTCTACTTAGCAAATAATGTTGCGCATAAATGTTGTATTCAGTATATGTATGACAGGGCATGTCGATTTGAAAAAGGTACTTGACAGATGCAAATAAAGACCCACTGACTGTCGGAAGACTTCTGCACCATTGAGGCTGTGCTGTGCCGTGGGGCTAACCTACGCAGTATTTGCTTTTCTCTAAGTTATAGAATGGCGCAGCACTACTGAAGGCGATTGGTTAGATGCAACTGTAGATGTTACTAGGAAAAGAAGGATAACTGCAAAGCGTGTTAACGAACTGCAGTCTCTGTGATACGGCAAAGCCTCCATCAGTTTTAACGGGAAATATTGTCTGTTGCGAGACGAAGCCCGATTTCGAATTAGATTTGGGTAACAAGCATCCGAAGCTACTTAGATTCAGGGAAACGTATTTAGATAGGATAGACAACTCTGTCTCTTTCCAGATAGCGCCTGCACATGTCAACGAAAACGGGCTGTTTTTTTTATTGTGCAATACTCAACACATATTCTCATACATTGGGTGCCGGGCTTCTTTTCGTATCGCTTTATAAAACTCCACGGAACTTCGACACACACGCCTATAACCACCAGATTCTTCATCAATGCATTGTTCATTAAAGTCGAGTGATGTGCTCCAGGTAAGTTTTGCGTTGTGAAGCTCATCACCGATTTTACCAAATATTTGTTCCGCTGTAATAGTAACGAAATGTCTTATGTTAGACATTTTAAGTAAGGTCGGAGACAAAGTTAGCTGTGGATCTATATTGCATAGAGAGCATGAGTTGGTAGTAAGGCTCATGCTTAGAAATTATGTGTCAATTATCACCGTAACGGCACGAAGCAACGCTTTGAAGACAGCAGCTTAATGATCTAGTCTGACTTAATTTACCAATGTATAAACTGCTAAATTGAATCACACACTTCAAGTTATTAATATTGTTTTCTTTTAGGTTTTGCTAACTGACAGATGGATTAAGCATTTTTGCATGTAGATTTGTTTCTGATAGGGGACTGTACAGTTTCAAAAAATATACGACCCTCACCTTTTATAATTAACTTTTACCATTTTTCAATTATGACGAAGTTACATAAATATAACATTAAGAGGGGCACTGCTCATGGCGCGGTTAAGCAGGCGAGTGGAATGAGCTGCTATGAGCTATGACCACGACCTCCTGGGGTAACTCAAAACGCAATGTTTTACATGTACTGTGCCGGATGCGTGCACAGTATCCGTCAAAATTGTGTCTGTTTATTTATGCTTGAATTATTTCACGGAGCTTGTTGTTAGACACCGTTGTGCCGCTTACGTATCATTCGAACTCTAAGCAGATCTTGGCAAATGTTTTCAAACGAAGAAGGTAGAGAAGTACCGAATGTTCGTCATAGGTTTTCAAGTAGAGAATATTTATTGTTTGACGAAGTGAGAACGGCTGGCGATCGACGAGGCGAAACAACTGTCCTAGATTCATATCCCGAACGATAGTCTAGCTCGAGCACAGAGCTATGAGACGGTACATAGTTATTCATCGGTATCTTCGGATTAGAATTCGAAGATGCCGGTCTGTTTTCAATCGGCCATTAAGAAAAATGGTACACCAAAGCTATCTTCGACCTTAATTTTTCTCGGTTCTCCCATTCGAGCTAATTTTTTGCCAGCGGGATTGTCCAGTATTGACAGAACTGTCAATGCTAAGCCTTTCGTTCAAGTAATTCTCTCGTAACAAGCTGGACCACAATCCCTAGAGCGAAAGATTATTTGATAATAAAACGCGGTAGACGGCAGCTTATAGACGTTGAATAAAAACCTCGAAAACGTGGTAGACGACGTATAGAAGGCGTTATGAAAGGATTTACGTTAACCGCAAACGCGGCCGTTGGTCGCGCAAAAAACTGAATAGCAGTTCGGTACGGCTGAGAGAACAGAGTTAGTTGGACGAGGTTTTTCCTGATGTTGAAAAACAAGCCGACGACATGAAGTGTTTGACTGAAAACTTTGTCGCTAAAATCGAGGCAACCTTCGCGGCCAATCCAACTGTAAGAGTTGGTCAATGGTTCATTAAGTAAAAATCGTACGACCGACAATAAACAAAAATCGTCGTTATGGAGGATCTCGGAACGGAAACGCTCACTGTCAGCGCAGGGTTCAGGCCAACCGCTAAGTATGAAGGCGCACTCCAGAGCGTTGGCGAGACTCCGAAAGAGTTGGGCGCTGCACATATAGATTTTGTGCCGAGAGGCAGAAATCGATTTGCGGAACCGCTTCAGCATTACTGTAATACCGATATGAAAGACCTCTTGCGGGAGCGCGAAGGCCTTGAGACCGCATGTCCGAATTGCGCAAAGAAAAAGAAACGTAGGGGAAAAAGGATTGGTTGGACGCGTTACTGAAGTGGCACGCCCTTCGAGAGGAATTCGACAAAAAAGCCACCCGTAAGAATCTTCAAAAGATACCAAACGCACAAACGTTCAACGTTTGCTAGATTTTATTGGCGCCCAGGTGACCTTCTGCATGTTACTCACGAAGCAAATGGAAGAACTGAACAATGAATTGTAGCCAGATCGTGAAGTACGAGGAAAGCTTTATCTGTTGTGTCGAGTGATGCAATCAATGAATTAATAACCCAGCACCCAGGGATGCTGGATTAACTGTATTTACAGTAGGATTTGTTCTAACAAATACTACAAACGATTATTAGAAATACATTATCCTTCGTTCATTGCAATCAACTCAATCGTACCATAGTTATTCCAGCTCGATTGCTCTACACTTGGAGTGGACGATCAATGCTCGTTTGAATTATACTGTAACATTTACTAGGATATATAAACATTTTATAGTGACAGCAAGACGGTGCTCTTGTTGCAGTCCGTCTAGCGAGACTCTGTTCAAGCGGTAACTATTCCCTCTAGATTGCTCAAAAGAAGTATAAACATTTTTCGTATGTCCACTTTTCGGAAGTCTTACACAGAAGAGAAAAACTGCCCTCCCTTCTGTTAGTTCTGAGCAATTTTAAACCAGCCACTGAATAACATTAGGTATTTATCGAGCTGAACTCCTAACGCTCCCGTTCTCATTCTCTCGAGACCTGGCGCTATGCTGTTAGCGTCCGACACCAATGGCTACTGCCCGGTATCTTAATCAACCTAATATAGGCCAAAGTGCGTATCTGTCTTCTTGTGTACTCGAAAAACAACTTCACCTTTGTGATGTCGAGCGGCGCGAGATAGGCGGTAAATAACTAAAACTAGCACGTTATAACGGTAGTGTTTTTCCTAACGTATTATTTAGCGATATACGTCTCAGTGAGTTGGTGAAAGCTTGATGTATGGCCTGATAGAAACTCTCGACAGGACATCTAGTGATTAAGCGGCAATTAGGAGATGATTATAGAACGCGCACAATTCTAAAGCTACTATTGTGAAGACCAACTGATTCTATTTACGGTTATCACAGAGGTAAACATCACAGGGGTATCACAGAGCTGAACATTTGATGATAGTATGATTTTGACGGTGAATAGTATCCAGGCTAGCACCTATCGATTCTTTATCATCGCGATTAGAACTAGCGTTTTTTTTCAGTGAAGACATCATTCGATGTGAGTGCCAGGTATTTTAGAGTCAACAATGTGATGCGATCAATCAACTTACCTGCCGCTGCGTCTGAACAATTTCATTGTTTCCGTATTCTGTATGTTGGTTTCGAGAGGTTCTTACAAGACAAATGCTATAGTCATATCGGATTTTTACTGATATTCATCGATCCAGAGATACCGAGCATCGGTACACTTGTAAAATTCATTTTGAATTTCTCTTTGTTACCTATTACAGTATGCGATCTTTTTGGCAATTCTCCTCCTTCTCGAAATGACTGCAGGAATTCTCGGTTTTATCTTTAAGGACTGGGTAAGTTTTGTTCTCTTTGTGCAGACCTTTCAAAGATTGGCTCCATTGTTTAAAGTTCATGCGTTCATTGCTACTGGTCCATCAGGCGAAGGCAGACGCGCGAAGCTTCATCAATGTTACATTATAGGAAGATTGCGCAACCGCCTTGATATGTGCTCACTACAACTAAAATGTCACTTTCTAATGAAAATTACAGATAAAGGCGCAGGCTACGAACGGGTTCCAGGCTTTCATTGTTTTCTATCGAGATGATCCTGATCGGCAAAATCTGATCGATTGGATACAGGAACAATGGCTTGGATGCTGCGGTATTGAGGGTAAGTGCAATGCAACGAACGGCAGGAATATGCGCTACGTACGCATGCAGTCATTACGATACGATAATGAAAACGAAAGGGATTTTGCCCTAACCATATATATTAACTTATATTTAACAACCCAATTTTCTCACCAGGCCCAAAGGATTGGGATATGAACATATACTTCAATTGTTCGTCAGTAGAAGTGGGAAGTCGCGAGGCGTGTGGCGTTCCTTTTTCATGTTGTAAACGTCAACCCAACGAGCTCATTAAGAACAAACAATGCGGTTATGATGTCAGGAAGCCCGATTACGTAAGTAAACATTTGAACTTAACACAGTGTCATCAGCACGTCGACTGGGGAGCGTCTTTCACTGCGCAGCATTGTGCATAAATCCATTGTACCACGTTATCTGTTATGCGCTTATTAGAATTTAGCTAGTATTAAGTAATCACACACACACACACATATTGAGGGGCAAACGATAAATTGGCCGTCTTGCCTCCAGGACCACTCTGTCAAATACGTGTCACTACATCACAAGAAATTGTATACTATGATTGCTTGTTTGTTTTCGTATCTGCACAGAGAATTTCAGATGCACCTAGAACGATTGATTTAGTTGAAAGCGAAATCGATCAATCCTCAAAGTACTAATGCGTTATAATATGTATTCTTCGAAAGATCGTGCTGAAATCTTGTGCTCGCTTTGCCATGCAAACAAAAAAAAGCATCATCTTTTCAAGATTGCCTATTTGTAAACCAATATGGGGTCGCCAGTTAGCAATGAGACAGTCTCTAGCGGTTGGTGTCAGAGCTAGAATGTGTATATTCTAATTATATAGGGACCGGCCATATATAAAATAGGGCTGTAATGGGGTCACCGCCACTACTAACAGCGAGGAACGAATAGGACGTAATCAACACTAGTCAATCTGATCTATTGATTCGATCTGAACGTTTCGTTATCATTCGTTGATGTTCGGAAAAATCAGGCCCACCCGCGCCATTCCGTCGAATTGCACGGTCATAATAGTGATTTTGGATAGGCAATCTCTCGGGTGTTGTAAATATTCTATGAAGTTTCCTAATATGTTTCTGTTCGTTTGAGTATCTCTCAATGAGCTACGATACAAGAGCTAATTGCTAATGCATCTCACTACTGCTAACAGCTTATTAAATATCTAATAATGAATACTTTAACTGGTGTTGGCTTTGTTACTCTGTTGTATTTCTGTACTCTTGCTATTGATGCTTGGTGTCTGTTACTATGTACTTACAATTTCAACTGCCGCTCTGACTACTATGGGAAATCCTACTACTGCTACAACGACCCGTGGTGTCGACTCCAACTACACGCGATGTTGGCGATCGGGGGTGAATGCGGTCGTTGTTGATTGTCGATACACGCACGGGACTTTGTATGCAGCAACGAGACAAAAGCCATGTGATCTATGAAAAAGGTTGTCTCCGAGCGGGCGAAGAATGGATCGAGGCAAATCTCGTTCCCGTTGCCGGCGTGGCTGTCGGCCTAGCTGTATTACAGGTATGCCAATCATAGAATGTAAACCAACTCTTGTTGTTTGTTTTTTCTTTTGCGTTTGCCGTGTTCATCCGGGGTGGCATTATAGGACAAACATATTCGCGCGAAGCTGATCTACGAAAGAGGATGCCTACACCTTCTTGAAGAATGGGTGGAACTGAATCTTGTTCCGCTATCAGGAGCCATGCTTATCGTTGCATTTATACAGGTAGAAAGGGGACACGAAACAAGAGGGATCCTATGAGTGGTCTACAGTTGAACCTACTACAGTTGAACGCCCGCAATAATAGAATCGAAAGAAGCACACCAATTTCGTTGGCCGAACCACAGAGTGTCTGTAAATATCACAGGCCAGGGCAATGACGAGTGGCAAAAACGAAATAGGGAATTTTAAACTATAAAAGACAATAATGAACAGTGTACTAACTTATGGCATTAACATGTGATAATTTTGGAAAGTAATTAAGCAGAGGCTAAGAGGTTAACTAACTGTCTGTCTCATTTAGTGAAATCTCACAACTGGGTACTTATCTTGGTACTGCCTATACACAGTTAAAGAAAACGGAACCACTTTCTGGTGTCGTCCTTCGAGTCAACATACGTATAAAGCTGCCTATCGTCGCTGCCAATATAATAAAAAAAAAAAAAGGAAAAAAGCTATTCTAAGAGAAAATCCGTACTAACGTTTATCATGTTCATGTTGTCTGTTGTGCCAAAATTACTTTCTTACAGATACTGGGAATCTGTTTTGCGCAAAACCTTCGCGCAGATATATTCGCCCAGAAGGCCAAGTGGCACTGACATGACGCGGACCCGAGTGGGGCTAACGGGCATCATGCATTATTGTCTTCACGCGCACAGCCATTGGGGCCATATCCTAACGACCCGGCTCTTCGTACTAGCCATATAGGGGTCACTCAGCCTCTATTGCCCATACATCATCAGGGATCCCGTGCACCGATCCCTTATTCAGCAAGAAGATAAATCAAATCTCAACAAAACAGTAGTTGGATTTATACGTAGAGGTATCACATACCAACAAGCAGTGTTATTGAGTGGGACTGTACTGTTATTACCGTTGTCAACCGAAAAAGGCCACGAACCGTTATGACGGTTATGAGCGTCGATATACGCAGTGATACCGATACTGAGATAGATACTTGATAGAAAATGAGGACTAACGGATACATGCTCAAGTGGTCACATTTTAGATCGTAGCCCAAACTTGCGAAGTTCATTCTTCTCGCCGAAAGCAAAGCAAAGCAAAGCAAATGTGTTGGTGTGTTTCTGGCAGGCCTTCTATCCATTGTCTATTGATATTTGCTGTACAGCCAACCTCTAGGAGCTGTGTAAACGCCACATTTCTAAATGACATTCCGGGGCACCGCCAAGTTAGGAAAGAAAGCTTAACTAAGCTACTTGATTTTATTATTTGTGAAGTTAATAATGGTGATTCTAATTTTTTAGACGGAAGATGCTAGCGTCGAGATAAATTTTGAGAGTGAAACCGGATAAACTTGGAACGAGCTATTCCATTGCACTGGAATAGCAACCCAGCCCCGCTTGGGCGGTGCAGATTAATTACACAACCATTATCATTGCTATTTACTGCTCTATGATTATTCATTTATCTTCTCAGTTTATGTTTATTGCTTTAAAATGCAAAAATATAAGATCGAAGCCGAATGGTTGATGAAGTGAAGAGCATTAAAAATGGAAGAATGCTGAAAACTATACGAGCCAAAGCCATATATCTTTGTACAACAACCTTCCGATACTAAACAACAAAAACAAAAGCTGTACAGCGTTGACACAGTTTCCGTGCGACCGCTACTGTTATATAATGTAGATGTGTATTTATTATTCTTAACAATAATTATTATTTTCGCTTCGTAAATTCTTCGAAAGAAACATATATAAATCGTGTTCAAGTAACACACAACGTGGGGCTTCATCGAGTCTTGGTTTCATCGAAGATGCAACAGCGTCTTCGACGAAAACAAGAAAGCCGAAGAAGTTCTTCGAAACGATCATCTTTGTTTCAGTTTCAGTCTTCTGCTTATATCTTGTCGGTGAATTGATTATAAGAACGTACCAAATAGTGAGACTGAATGCACGGCTAGGCCAGACTTAAGGAACCCTTTAATGTCCGCAAATATTGGCGGGAAAATATTGTGATCTTTGTCGCTATACTCTCACCTGGCAGGAAGCTTGACTTCGTGGTTGGCTATGGCAAAAAGAAGAGTAACGAAACATCTGTAGCCTATTCGTTGAGTGATAGGCAAACGTAAATTGTATGAGTCTGCGCGTGTACATTGGTTGCATGGATGTAAGCGTTCAGATGAAGCACGATGAATTTTGAAGTTTGTGTGCGAGGGATACTGGAACCGAGAAAAGGTAGAGATCAGGAGAGAATTTGTGTTAATGGATTAAGATGAAGAATTAGTGACACTGTCCATGACGACTGGGTAACGTGTTTTGTGATGTTGTACCGAGCACACATGCACACAGGTTAACTGAGGTATTTGAAATGCTTCATGACGAGGACGAACTGGACGAGGATAAACTTTAATCGTGAGTGAATGTGTGAACTGAATGATTTGTTGAAGATAGACTAAGTTTGAAGAAAACAGAAATTAATCTTAAGGTATTTGAGGCATAAACAAGGTCACAAATTAACTGTAAGGAGCCATGCCGTCACGCCGATGGAAGCTTACATTTAGCTCCGTAGCTGTATGACAGATGACGTTATTTGGCGTACGGAACGAACGACGATGAAACTGTAACATACTTCGTGTATATACATAGCATGCAAATATAGGTATATATATATATATATACGCATACATAAAATTGTATTCAGATGTATCATGTGCAGTAATCGATAGAACTTATTCCTGGTGTTAGTGTTGATCAAGTAAGTAATCGGCATAAATTCAGATTAGCGGAATCTTTTTGGACGCGTCCGAAGCTCAGAAAAGTTAACCGTTAATCGAACTTTACCGAAAGCCGACATTCCGGTTTAACTTGAAATAAAATCTAGACAGGCCTTTTTATCGCGGTCAGTATTTTCTCGTTTTGTTTTTTGAAGCTACTGGGTTGTTACAAGGCTGCACTAAAAAGTATCGATCAACACGGTGGTAACAGCCGTCAATGTCAAGAGGGCGAAGAAGCACGAATATAAAAGAGCAAATTAAGCTGACAAGCCATTTTTGAATGCAAGAAAATAAGAGACCTGTTAAGTGGTAAGTGGTTGTGGACGTACGTTAAATAAAAGGCTATACAGCTGGGAGGATGAACGAACGTATAATCAGCAGTAGTTCTCGAAAGGATGAGAGATTGTTAAGTGGGTCATGGATATTCGATTATATAGGCCGTCACAATGAGCCAGTTAAATGGGGCATGACAAGCAGGCAGGATCTGATCGACATCTGTTGGTGTCAAAGTTAAAATTTTTCAGCCGCCTATCCGCAATTGGAGTCGGGGCATGATTTTAGTGTCAGTGATAAGTTCCCGTATTCGAATGGGATGTGCGGGAAATTTTCCGTGATAATATCGAAGGTTAGCCGAAGCATAGCAGGCTCTCATTTGAAGCAGACATTGTACTGGGGTCATTATAATACTTAGTTAACAGGTTCGTTGTGTTATTCGTGATTAATTAATCACAATAACTGAATTGTGTTCTACTATTATATGGCTGTTCATGTGTACAATTCTTTCTCTATGCTAGCTCTTTTTGCGTTAACATTAGCATGAAGAAGTCGTGTGAATGAGATGTGAGTGAGGCGTTGGTACGCTAAACTGTGTGTTTAAAATCAAAGGAACCAAATCGTTGGAAAAACGTAAATTTTTAATTTTCCATGAAATATCGGACCGCGCCGACAACTAAATCATGTAATGTAATATATTTACGATCGGCAAATAAATTTATTGGAAAAACCACAAATAAACTATCGTCTCATTAATTTACTACGGCTTTTCTATGGATGCACTAGCGTAAGACCTATGTGTGGAGTGAGTATTTCGTAGAGCTACGGTGATACAGAGTAATTAAGTTTTTTTTTTCTTCAATTTACTTCGCAGACAGCTCAGGTAGTCGTTTGTAAAGTAACAAAGTTGGTAAGTACAATTCGTTATTCAGCCGCAGACGACGCTGACTGTCAGCGAACGCGAAGGAAAAGGTTATAAACAAAAATGGCTAGTGCTTACTGGCATCTGCTATCGCAAATTGTACATCAGATACCAGCTTAGAATAACAGGCCGTATGCTTTGCACATGGGGGCATGTACACATGAAATGCTTTCATGTGTACATGCCCGCAGAGATCGTTTGAGCTTCATCGCCGGCCTGTCGTTCCACTCCACTATTACAATATGAGCTGCCTAATCGTTCGTAGGCGAGACATTATAGTTTCAAATGGGTCGTGAGAAGTTAGTTGAACGGCTATCGAAGTTTAATTAGGGCCGGAATATCACCCAATCGGCCTGTAATGAAGTTCGGCTCAGAGAAGTTCTCACTTTATTATTATACGCATTTCTTTTTGCACCTTTCTTGCTGCAACAAGCGCAGTGGAACGGTTAATGTATATTTGTTGGCTTACAATTGTTTTTTTCTTTAAATACAAAAAAAAGCCCTAGCAGCGGTAATTTCGTGCATCTTTATTAAACTGTCATATGAGAAACATTGTTGGCCAGAATCATTCCTCGTGTCAATCATCGGTATAATATATGCTTAAGGCACACACCACACCGATCAGTTACCGCAGCCGTCAGCTAAAATGTTTCTGTTCGACAAGGTTCCTCGCGGCTGACTACTGTGTTGCCAGAGTTTGCTACTGCTAAATCTGTTAGAACCGGTACGTTAGGTCATAGCGCAAGTAGCATTTGTTTATAAATCCTGTTGAAATTTCTACTATGGCGTCCTACAAAGCCCGTCAGCTGTGTCCGCTGGACAGCGGCTTTATCTTATATATTTATTATTTTAGGCGTGATTGCAGGCACTGATTGTATGTTCCTTGCCGCAGATGATGTCACACGAGCGCGCTTCTTTACGGTTCGCAACGATATATGATTAGTTCATACGAAGAGAGTTGCGTCTTAGCGTTAAAGGCATTTAGATAATACAATGGATCCACACCTTTCGTACAGGTTACACGACCTACATTTGGCTTACCAGTTTAATTAGTCAGGTACATAACAAAGCGTGATTTTAGATACGATGCAAAATCATACTTTCAGCGTATTTTGCTTCGACTTTATTTGATAATGGTCGTAACATTATCGGATTAAGTTAAATGAATCTAAAGTTATCCAAGTATATGTCAGACCCGGCAAATTCAGCGTAGTTTGTCTATAAGTTCAAGGGTCTATTATGAATCTTGAACAAAAAAAAGTATTCACACAATACTCCATGTCGATGCTTTCTGGGACCGAATAAGCTGCACATCGCTTAAGCATGACTCCAGTTGTTTTATACAAAACAGAAAAAAAATATAAAGCTTAATATCATAATATAAAAAGATATTATACTATTTTTGTTTTACTATCCGGATTAATATGTGTACGTTATATAGGTAAGTGTTCAGCAGCCATAATAAAGACAGTCTTGTAACATTAATGGAGCAGCATGCTAATTTGCCATAGCTGGCCGGAGGAACTGGGGATTTCTGGTTCAGGCCCTGCCTACATGTACGATTAAATAAGGAAGGCTTCTAACGTCTAAAGCTACAGATAAAAAGGACGAGGGTATTCGCTCAGTCGAATCTAATCTATGTTCCACATATTTTATCAAACAAACGACTGTAAACAACACAGAGGCGAATCTTCAACTTTGTCAAAAGGCTACAACGGGGAATGCTGAAGAAGAAGCCTTCAAGGGCCATTATGATCTTCGTCTGTCAAGCGACGGGCTCAGACCTTGGCAGGTGTGCGCGCGATGAATTTTAGGCGAATCGATGTGCTTAAAATACGAAGTGCTGCTTCGGCGCCTTGTAGTCCCTTCTGCACAGGATGTTCCTTCTTACAGATTCCATCTTCCGTTAGGACAAGTGAAATTCAGCTGGAATAATCTCGCTTAGTGTAACGTGTTCCATCCCCCGAGTGTGATTTGGCTATACCGAGTAACTAAAATCCTAATTGAGCTTAAGCCAATGAACTTAAATCTTTGATGCTGTCTGGCATTGCCAAAGACATAAACGGAATAGATATGGTCGAAAAAAAAGGCTAGAGTATGCGTATACATTATTAAATATGAGAATAAATATGCTAGTAATCTAGATCGCGAGGCGCCTTACGACTATGTACTCGGGATAGTTTGTACATATATTAGCTATGGGGTGCTATTGTACAGTATACCCGATAAGTATGCTGTTATTATTTCGACAGTTATAACTCGCTAAGATGAAATATCTAGCGTTCTATAGTTTATGCATTGAGTATAGGTAGCTATGGATGACAGATGGCTACATTTCTCATTGACTGAGCAATCAAAATTTTTCCTAGCGTTCTCGTTTTCGACCGTAAAGGGTGGGATGGATATATTATAAAACTCTTTATATGGAAACTATTTTAAACAAATATGATTGCAAGATTTATAGTACAGACTCTAACTCAAGGAAAGCCACATTTAAATATTATGTTGAACCAGAACAAATAAAAACTGTTAACGACATTGACTTTCGAATGTGTTTCGAAGCCATGTTTGTAAGGTTCGGATATTCAAAAATCCTATTTATGTTTTGCAGGATAGGCCTTAAGGCTTTTAGATGTAAAAGCTATCGTTAATAGTGCGGCGTTGGGCACATGCGTTCGCGTTCCATGCGAATTCATTCCATGATCGAGAAGAGTCGATATATGTAGTATGTACTCGCTACATATATCGACTCTTCTCAATTGCCAAAGCTCAATTTTAGAAAAGAGGATACAGGTAAGCATTAACCACAGTGTTTTATTACGTTATTGTACAGTACATCCATTGGCCCTTGCCTGACGTCGGACGGTGAAGTTTCGGTGGCCTCAACTGCAGAAGCCGTGAACCTCGTGGCGACTCAACTACCTGCGTACACGCATCCCTCTACCGGAACGGTTGACGGCCGTATTGATGGACGTCCTACAGAGAATCACAGATGCCATTAGCATAACAGTGCAAACGCTTTAGATAGATCTGTTCGTTCCACGGTTTACGTCTCTCAAGCGCATCACTTGTTTCAGTCGTTAATGACGAAATAACAAAAGCCAATATAAAATACACATAGTGAAATTCGTAATCGCATGTTGCCGAAGGCCACGTTTGCACTATTCTTATTAAGACTGTTTGACTACTGAGTAGCTAAGAGCAACGATAATATGGACACATCGCTTTATGGCTTCAATAATATGAAATGATTACTTAGAGAGTGAGTCGCTTCCCGCGTACGAGTTGTGAGCGGAATCGGTAGGCATCCTCGAAGTTCTCAAGCAGGAACCCGCGTATTCTTGCCATTTTCATGGTTTCCTTGGCAATGTTGACCTGCGAAACAGGCAGGAGAAGCGTACAACAAAAGTGCTGAGTTACCATACGGAAAACAAATCGTACCATGTCTTTCTCTTTGAAGCGTTGACTGTAAATTGTAAAGGGTGCGACTCCTTCCCCTATACGTTAAATAAATATATCATGACTTGAATATTTAATTGTCAAAGGTTTTTCTTTAACACCAGGCATGTACATTTTGAGCTGTTAGTCTAGGAACAACAGTCACACAAGAAATGTCACTGATATCGACCTCTAATCTGTTTGTAGTAACTGGCAGGCATTGGTACCTGAGTAGTGCCGGTGACATCGATGTAGTCGCACTCGGAAGCGGCGTAGTGGCATGAGATCGCTTTACGAAAACCGCGAGAACGATTAGCTCCTGAACCATGGATCAGGATCGGATGGAAAAACACGGTATCGCCTTTGTCCATTTGCAGGAAGACTCGACGGCTCGTGACATCACAAGCGCCTGAATAGATTAAAAAAACGCATAATCATGACAAGTTGCATAAATAATCTTGTTGGACCGCTTTCAACTTATCAATGCACGCAATTTTTGCTTGCTGCTCAGTCCCCTACTTCACTATTAATCGGAGACACATAAATATGCTGAAGCAGTGAAACGTAAGTGTGCTTTAAAAAGCTCATAGTTATTAACGTCGTAGTCTCCATTCGTGTAGGTTACTTGATTCAAGTAACACGTCCGTAAACTATCGTATCTATGTCTGCAATTCAGTCCATCATCACCACCTCTGATCTTAACGAGAAGCTTCCAGTTGTTGATAATTCAAACCTACCGCGAATCGCGTTAAAGTAACTTCATCTTTCCGTACTTAACTGAAGCTAGGGTCATCAACTAAAACATAAAGAGTTCTTTTAACTAGTTAATAGCCGTCGTATTTCGTGACAGATGCGTAGAAACGAACCTTTGACACCGTAATAGGCTATGTTGACTCCACCTTCCCAATCGGGATAATCATGTTCAAGCAACGCTCCCTTGTGCGAACCAGGAATAACGACAAGGCAACCATTGTCACGATTCATGCTTTCCATCGCTGTCCAGGCGCAAACGACGCGGTCCGCCGGACGGAACGGGAAGTAATGTAGGTCCTGGTGAAGCGGATGGCGGGATGTCAAACTCCCTGCGGCATAAGCATAGGCCAAGATGACGGCTAACGTCTCCAGTTTACTGCACTACTATATTACGAGATGATTTGAAAATAGTACCAAAGGTCCAAAACGCTACGCATAATAGGTAAGCTATTATCTATGCTTTCGGATACAAATACTCATCAAAGTTATTGCAATCTGATGCCATTTTTTTTCAGCCTCACCGGAATCCGGAGGTTTGTTGATAAGCATCGAGTTAACAGCCATTATATTTGGTCCCGTGAAGTTCTCGACATAGTCTAGAAGTTTAGGATGGCGGCAATATGCAAAAAGCTCATCGTCCATAAAAATGTCCTGAAAGCATAATTTACTAATGATTTTGTCGTACGTATAGGATGGGTTTCTTAGACACGAATAAAATTAAAGTTGAAATATTCCTTAACATGGCTATAAAAATAAACACCCACGGCTAAGTTAATATCGCTAACATGAATTCTTTGGGTGCTATATTATGAGAAAGTTATGTTATGTTATGAAAATCAAGGGCGAAAAAAGGCAATTCATTCACAATAAAATTGTACGTAACTTTTGTATAGACAGGACTACGTATTGTTCTATCGTTACGTATTATTGGCTTTTCCTGAGTTCTACAGGCATTTCTAGCGGTGTTGGACTAAGGAAGCCATTTGAAACGTCGCGAACATGGTTTCGCGCTCTATAACTGAGGAACAAACAACATTATCTATCTATACACATATGGACTACTATTTGAAGGCTATGTTTGGTTTTTTATAGTTTAAGGTTTATTATAGTTTTTCTCATGTATCTGTAGCTCTGTATTGCTATTGACGTTTTTTCGTCTTCGGAATCGCCTATCGGTAAATCTGTTGCCAGGGGCTTGCTCCCATGGGCGGTCTAACTGCAATGCCTCCTGCTGGGCTTTCTCGTGGTTTCCCCAAAAGGCCCATGACACACCACGGTAACCGTGTAAGGAGCTACTAACGTTAATCATAATATGCTGAATTCGTTATTATTAATGTTTGGCACTAACTTTTACGAACAGTCAAATTGGAACCATCATTGCTAGTTATGGTTACCATGGCGGCGCGTTGAAAAAAACGCGCATCAGGTGACCTAGACCATGTTGTCCCTCTAACATGTGCTCGTTCACCTATTTTGAACAATGCTATCGTCACCCAGAGGGTTACAGGGATTCTTTTCATTCCCTGCATTTAACGGTATATTATAACTCAGTAAGTCATTGCGATTTATTATAGGCTTTCTTGCTTGTCCACTAGTTAGCAGTGAATCCAAAACTATAGAGGAAATTGAAAATGGAAGAGGAAAAAAAAAAGAAAAAAAAAAAGCGTTATTTCAACACAAGTGAAACCTATTTTAATCTCGTAATCAGTTTCAAATCAAGATCAATATTCGACTACAGAGGTAAATTCTATTCCGAGCTGTAAAGTCTACCGCAACTTTCAAACAGCCGAGCGCTTCCATTTATCACCGACACAATTATAGCCCTGCTTTAATTAACCACTTTAACTAAACAGAGAAATCCGATTATCGAGTCAGGATTTGTCCGATGTTTAGTATTCTCTGTGTGCAACGTGACGAGACACAGAAATTGCAACGTTTTGTATCGGCGTTTTTCATGCTCACCATCAAAAAATTTCGAGTTCTTCTAGTCACTATGTGTCGAGCGGCGGCAGAAACACGCAACGAGAACTCATTAGGATTACCTATTACTATAAATAAGACACGGATAAGGAAGTTCAAATTATACAAATATACTATCTAACCGTCGGCCGGACCAATAGAGATTAAATTTTCACATCTCAAGTTGCCTGTCCATGAATTTGAGCGAACGATCGAAGCGCATCGCTTCTATTACAACCGTATTATATTATGATGATAGTAAACCTGATTTGTGAGATAGGACAAAGAGATATAAAGCACAAAAATTGCGGTGTATTTAATACTAGCAGGGCAGCAGCAGCAGCAGCAGCACCTTTAACAGGTGAAGTTTACTGATAACTATACAGAGGTACATCAGGCATTTTAGACTGAAGTCGGATCTACAATTTCGATTTCAACCGCAATCGGCGCTTGAAATTACGTTGCTCCATAATTTCACTACTGTTCGCCATATGGAAAATGTTTGCTATTATTTGAAAAAAATGTTCCATGATATTCTTACTGGTATCAGGTTTAGGACAAAGATGCCGCCAAATTCAAGCGCGTGTTTCGCGCGCAATAATTTTCGAATTATTTCAGCGTTTAAACACAAATGGCAAGTAGCATCATTTTTTTTTAAAATGGTCATCATGTGAATCCTGTTTACGAACACTCACGGTACGAGGCATGGTTCTCTGCCACCGTAGCGTGTGTGGCTTTAACTAGCGTTCTCTAACTGCTGCATTATCATCCTAGAATAAGTTGAAAACTTCTCCTCCGTGCCCTGTGACGCCAGGTCTTAGTTCCTTTTAACACTTTAACATCTGATTATTCCTCAGTTTTAGTAAAACACATCATCACATCATAGAACGTATCAAATTAACCATGCATGAATCCACGACTAAGCTACCTAAATTACCCAGTTTATACTTATTTTTCATTGGGAAGATTTATACTGGTGCTGTTCTGTTGTCCAACAGGACGTCTATTTTATTAAATCTCGTGTTGTTTTACATTGCCGAAGCGATTCGTGGATATTGTCAGCCATGAATCAGCACAACGGTGGAGCCACCTCCGAATTAACTCACTTGTTATCAATTTGACCTCCGTGAAGCAACTATTTTCTCGCTACGTAACGGCCGAACGATGATGAGAGTTTACTGGTATCGCTCATCTTTGTCTTTTCATGGGAAGATTCCTATGTCGCCCTCTCAGCTCGCCTGGAGCTGATTCTTCCGCCAACTATATATAACGGGCAGTGCGCGTGTTTACGTTTACATCCCCACACTCAACCACGATCAAATAAGCTAGTTGTTATAGATTTGTCTCCTTGCAGGAGCGACACGTATGCCAGCCTATTTTGTAAAGTATCAATTTGTCATGTGCCTAAAACCTTGTGCCATTAATGTTTCTCTTTCTCAGGAGAGCTATTAGCATACTGGGTCAAGGGAAACTTGACGTGGCTTTCTTTTCTTTTAAGAGACTTGTCATATCAAAATGAGTAGAGTAGTAACACTTGCACCATATAACACAGGTCGGATTATCCGCAGCGAGGCATCTATGTTGAAACAAAAAAAGTGTCGAAAGCCCATTTTCGAGATAAGCTCATGGAACCTAAAACTTACAAGCAAAAAAAAAATTATATAGAGGTGTGCGGTAACGTGCCTGAAGCTTATTGACGACAAACGTGCTCGACTCTTGATCTTTAACAGACACATCTTTCACTTTGGCGAGGCCGGGTACATGAACTCGTTGACGGACGATATCGTCAAATCTGAAATAATTATAATCATTGTTATTCGGAGACACTGCATATGATAGTAAAACGTCACAGAAAGCCTAATTCCCTATTCGACAAGTGTGGCATCGACATTATCCAAGATCTCGTGGACATAATTGTATCTTCTCATAAGACTTATACCGGCACGGTTTACGTTTCGTTAATTAAAATAAAAAAAAGTTTATACAAGTAATCCAACTCACCTTTTCGCGTAATGGTCCAACTCTTCATTCGAAATTATTCCTTTAACAATGATGAAACCATTTGCCTCATACTGTGTTCTCTGCGCTCTTGATAAGAGACCGTTGTTTTTGTCGAGCGTAAAGCGATACTTGGTCTCTACAGATATTGTATTAAAGGCCGCACAGTTTTTTTTTGTTGTTTTTTTACTATGCAATTAACTCTATAGACATTATCTGATTGGAGACGGAATCAAGTCAGATACTCAAAACCACACATTGGCTCTATTTATAAATTTGAGTAATACATTACACCTTTTCCTGCTAGTACACACCGTCCACGCCGCCAATTCAATTTAGGTCGATAAAAACCAGACCGATTAGAGACTATCTAATAGAGTCACGATGTCCCGTTTTCTCCATATCCGCTCGGAAAAACAATCGACAACATGTCTATCAACATAACAAATTCTACATTTAGTTCAGCTAATCACCTTATGACGTTGTAAACTTAGATTACGGAAAAAACGCGTACGGCGACCAGCTTGTTGATCCGCTTGTATCACGCAAGAAAAAAATATCTATACGCAACTATTTATTATTATATATAATATAACATTTAAAAGTTCTGCCTTCTGTGAAAGCCCCTTGTTTCGCCTATGGCAGCTACTCCTGCATATTGTTGTGTGCCGAACGACGAAATAAAAAAAACTATTGCATCACTATTATTATTGTGCTTTTAATCTGGTCGTATTTCCGAATTCGAAATTTGTATACTATGCCACGGGATTACTAAGATGTGAATCGTGACATGTCGATCCCCACGCTTACTCTATGATAGCAATCCAGTCATTGTTCCGAGACTCAGAACATCAAATGTCGTTGCTTAAATCACAAATAAAATTGTTTATATGTACATACCAGGCGCTGTTTCGCCCGAACCAGCGACATCGAGGACGCCTTCATCCTCGAACACCTGAAGCGTGCTGGTACCTTTTAGGTGACCAACGATGATACCGAGTCGATTTGCTGACATCTGTAATAAAACTATATGGGTACATAAAAAAAGGAAAATAATGTTTTTTTTTTTTTTTTTTTATAGATATTGTGGTAATATGTAGAATATTTACAGAGGATTCGTATGCTAATATGACGTAACGTGCAAAGTATGGCGCTTATGATATTCACCCATTTATAATTTCAAGCATTTTTAAATACAATCTTTGCTAACAAAAATATCGTATACTATTTGAGTAATCTAATACTAAAGGCGATAATCCGATAACAAGTAATAATGAAAAATATGATTCGGTCTTTTTCATTTGACAGCTGTCTAAATAAATAAGATAGATAAATACGGAAAAGCTACTAACGTAAGTTGCTCGTAAATACCGAGGATACACTTCACAGGGTCAAGAACGCAGCGTGCCTGACGTTAAGTGGGCGCTCTCAAGCAGAGCTTGTCTTTGACAAAGCGGAGGGCCAGCTTGACACACAAGTTGCGAAAAGCATAGCAATAAGTACAAACAATGTTTTCACTCACAGACAATTACGTAGTGACGCACTCATTCCTCCTGCACTGATTTTATTTCACTCTCGACAGGCGACTCCACTAGCTCGAGTTGTCTTAGCCCTTTGACGGAAGAACGCAGTAGTGAACATGTTTCCAGTAATTGCAGTTCTCAGTATGCCTGAAAGTTGACGAGAGTAGTCGGGCGATTGGGCGTTAGACGGCGGCGGCGGCGGCAGCAGCAGCGGCGGCGGCGGTGGCGGCAGCAGCAGCGGCGGCGGTGACGGCAGCAGCAGCGGCGGCGGTGGCGGCAGCAGCAGCGGCGGCGGTGGCGGCAGCAGCAGCAGGGCGACGTTGATAGCAAAGAAAACTGGGGAGACAAATGTCTTTCAATCTGCCAGCCTGAGGAACCTGGCATCTGAATCCTGAATCCACCTTTCAGGTCGACATCGAACACTCTTTTCAGTATTGCCTGTCTTATGATGAATGAGAAATTTGGATTACCTAAATCGAGTACTTGTGTTGAGCCACAGTAACTAGATATAATTTGCACGATTGGTAATTATAGAATTCAGGTTGGTTGAACTAGTTAGTGTCAAGTGGTTACAACTATAGGTAGTCAAGCTTGAACGCAATTTTCTTTTTGATGTTACTTCTTTCAAGATCTCGGTTAGATTTTAAGCTGGAACATATGTGCGTTTGTTATTATATATGTATCGAGGACTTCGTAAAGGAAAACTAAATTCTGATAATGACGCTCTCTTTAATTTCATCAGTTTTAATTCGAGGGTACGCAACACATTATCATATTGTTTATGTGACGAAAATGTGTTCCTGAGACACATTCATTTTTATTGCTCGACAAACTCTTGAACCGGCCATAAGAGATCGAAAAGCCCAGCTGGAGAACTTATTTTCTATGAGGTGCACAATGTTACACAAACTCTAAAATCCGTTTAATTGGAACACGTTAGTCGAACTCCACAGTTACAGAGCTTACAGTCAGAGAATTCGATTCCGATTAGATTAAAAACTTACGAAATAAACATTATTTTCGTAAATAAATAAATACTACGTCGAAAGGCTGCTAAAAACAACAAACGAATACGACTGAAGTAATTGGTGACCGCAACAGCTGAAAAACGTATTTTTTTCCATGATTATCCATCCGATACTTTGGATTTTACTATAAATATTATTTCAAACTTACTTCTTTTATTGGTTATGAACGATCGTTAGAAGAAGTGCCGAATGGCAAATGGATGAACGATAGTGAGCGAAGGCTACGGGTGTTCTTAATGAGCCCAACAAAGCAAACAAATATTTAAATTATTACATTTTTTTTAATTACAAAAATATTGATAATGAAATATATGAAATAGGGGAAACAATCCTTCCTTTAGATGTATTTAATTATAAGTACGAAGCATTTTTGCACTGACCAAAGTGATCGCAACTTTCGTCACTGTTCCATTTGTAAATTTTTAAAGAAAGGACAACAACGAAGATGCAAATTATAACACAATAAGTTGCATTGACTGTTGTATTAATACAAAACACTAGCACTATACTCTCAGACTGAATCTACATCTTGCTTAAGGACTTCATGCAAGCCTGAGAAGGACTAAGTATCGTCCCCAAAGCTTTGCGAGAAATGTGCGAAAACACCGTAATCACTTTTTGAATAAACATTTAGGAAGTATTGAAAATACTATCGAGAAGCGAAATAATATCTTTTCTTGACTAACACAGTAGCGATATTTTCAATGTATCTATATGTGATCTTTATGTGTTACCAGTTAGTTAGTAATTTATGTACTGTTAAAGCTTGGGATACAAGAGCCAATGGAGTACCTAAAGGCAATTTCATCACCATCTTAAGACCTAAACAATCTTCTCATGAAGAATCTTCTAAAAGCATGTACGTTTGCTAATTTAAATTATTAACAGTCGGAAACACATGGCGTACCAAAAGGGATACGGGAGAACACGATGCATGTAAAAAAAAAACCTTTCACGCAAAATCTTAACAGTTTCACAGTTTTTTACTATGTGCCCAGCTACTTTTTACTATGTGCGGTTTAATATCATCTTGCCAGATGATGACTTCCGCTTCGCCTAACGGGTCCCTTCTGTTAGATAGATTATTTATCGGCCGCCATCGTCCAGGTCTAGCGGGTCTGAAGCTTTTCATGTTTTCAGCCTCATCAAACGCAGATCATAATATTTCACAAGGTTCGGCTTAATTCGGGGCCTAGTTATCTCCGATAGTCACCCTCCTTGACACCTTCATATCAATATGAAGGTATACCCCGTTACCTATAGTAATTTTGTGTAGAAACTCGTCATTGTGGAAACACATCGTTCCGTACCAGGTAAGATCTTGGAGGAAATGCGAGGCCGTATTTTCGAGGGAACTTTTTCTAGTTGCAGACCCACTTAGACTCCCAGGTTCTGGTATGCGTTCAAAACGGATAGCCTTAATCTGATGGCGGTCACAGCTTACTTTTTGGGCCAGTTAACTACAAGTCGATAAGGATCCCACATGATCGCGAGACTGGAAGCATCTGTAATCTTTCAAAATACCATTATTGAATTTTACCAACCACGTTCGAGTAGTCTTCTCATCACAAATATGCTGTATTGCTTCGTTAGGTTTTTGACAATAGGCCGCCTAAAGTAGGTGTCAGAAATGCATTCTTGTCACACCCAGAACCATTTTCTGTAGAGACTGAACTCAACGTGAAACTTCCTCTACCGCACATTGAAGTCCCGATGGCAAACAGCGCCTTTAAACGGTATATAGAAAAAAGCAAACAGTGCAAAGGTGAAAGGGAAATTGAACATGAAGGACCAACTAGAAGTGCTTGTGTTCCAATCGAATACAAGTTAATTTGGCCTAGTTGAAGAGGGTGTAACGGGTAAGTCGGTTGTAGTTGATAGTCTGGTTAATCACCGACCTGCTACGGTTTTAGAATTGGCTGTAGTTCTAATTAAAGCTGACTGGCCAAAGATCCGATCGAAACTGTTGAAAAGCCTCTGAAGCGGGATCCACTTGCAGTCTAGACTGGATGTCGCTGGGAGAAAGGTCAGCCTGAAGCCTGTCATGCTTATTTCGCCAAACGTCCTGGGAATAAGTAACGCACTATAAGTGTTTCCACAATACGATTACGTGATCATGAAGACACACGCCTTTCCTTGGACTCATATGTATCACATAATATGTTTCAGTGATATTTACTGATGATTATAGTTTGAATGGTGTCGCTTGAGGCTTTCATTGACGTCAGATCAATAAATGAAATAGGCACCTTTAGCTCACACTGCTTTTATGTATATGTATACTTTATTAACTATTTATAATTATTGACGTTTTACAATTATTCGCTCCAGCATCACGCAGCGTTATAGCACTTTCTGGAAAAATTATAATATATTTCTGAGCATTTAAGTTTTTCTATTGCGAGTTCAGCTATACTCGAATATATAGAGTCGTTCGCGAATCTCAGGTACAATTATTGATGCTTTAAATATGCCGTAACGGCAAAACCGTTGCACCACGACAATAGATGATCTGCACTATTCTAAATGGATGAAGCGAATAGAGCCATCGTTTTTCAAAGCTTTTAAAGTTTCTTCATTAACGTCGATAATAACAAGCCGCTAAGTTTGCCAGTTGTCACCTGTTCTCTGCTGTTCAGCGATAACTTTAAGTGTTCCTTTAAATTAAATGATTGCCTTTGTATTTTTTTGCCAGTAATTTATTATTTGCACGTTTTTGGACCTCAGTAAATTTTACCATTTTTGAAAATGAGTTTCTATTTCAGATACGAATTTGTATGTTCTTAAAAACATGGCGGCTCGTTTCACACGTTGTCGGTCGCAGTACACACGCATTTGGTCAAATGCACAGATGCACAAGAGAAACGAGGAGTGTACCTCTTGTCTCAGTAGCACTTCGTTTTGTAAAGGCCTCGACCTCTTGTATTTCTTGATGGGCCTATTGACGCTCTTTGTCACAGTTTTGACAATTTTGAGCTTGATCATGCCGTCTGTTCCAGAAGGATACCAAGAGAAGCTAATTTACGCTAACTAATATTGTCAATCACAATGAGCTCCTCTATCGTGCAATAAGCAACCGCTTTGCTTAATATTTACTCAGATGCATTTAATCTACATAACGTTTCCGAACATAACGTTTCGAAGAGCGATATCTTCCACGTAACGGTCCGCTGTTATGTTAGCCGGGGGGGGGGGGGGGCATCTTCGATGCCCATATGAAACAATAATAATTGTACCTCATTATTTGTCTTCCGACCCGAACAGCCATCGACGAGTGACGCTCCGGTGTGAAGATGGTTCTTCGTTGGTACCGTCCATTGGATTCAACATTTTCATTTACTGTTTGCTGATGTTGGCTGGCAATCGCTCAAATGGTACCGATATTGGATATTATCAGCCGATGCTGGGCAAGCCCAATGGCTTTACTCAAGCAAATTGTGAACTTGCCTTTTTTTTAGATGCGCCAGTGCAATTGTATGGACATGTTTTGTTCCGGCCAAAACATTCACTAATAACATAAACGAAAAGGCAGCCTTTGTTCAGTAGTTTAACGCGGTTAACTAAAACTGTGGATTTAATGTGGAGTGGATTTTAATAGTGTTAACGACAATCGTTCCTATAGCAAATAGGAAAAATACATCAAAACGATGTTATACATTTATATTTAGGATGAGGAAACACCTAACGACGGTCAACGTATTCCCAACTTACATGAGGCCTATCCTTTGTTTCGCTGGTAACAGCACTCAGTACTAAATGCTACTCAATTTCCTATTTTGCATAGAGAATTGCACAATTGGTAGCGAATAGGGTCAGGCCCAAATCGCAAGGATTAGTACAAAACGCCACACAATGGCATGGGCTCAGTGCTCGCTTTGTCTGACTGAGTTGTGAAAGCGAGCATCAACAAGTTACTGCTAATATGATTAACTGCTATTTTAAGAATGAGGTTTATGGTCAAGATACTTGGCCTCAAAGGCACGTAGCACGTATTCATATTTTGGCTATATTACATAAGGTGGGACCGTAAACATACCAAAAATAGGCAACAATTTGCGCTACCTTTCATTATTGCCAGT